ACAACAAATTATTACAAAAAATGAACAGACGGTTGAGCGGAATATTCTATAATTCAAGTCCATTATTTTTTTCATTATTCCTTTATTCGTTTATTCTTCATTATCATTATTTATTTATTTATTTATTTATTTATTTATTTATCTGTTTATTTATTTATTTATTTATCTATTTATGTATTTATCTATTTATCTAATTTATTTATCATTATTATTATCATTATTATATTATTATTATTATTATTATTATTATTATCATTATATTTATTATCATTATATAATAATAATAATAATAATATAATATTATTATTATTATTATTATATTTTATTATTATATTATATTACCATTATCATTATTATTATCTTTATTATTATTATTACCATTATCATTATTAGTATTATTACTATCATTTTTGTTATTATTTTTTTTTTGTTTGTTGTTGTTGGGGGTTGTCATTTGTCATGCTGTCATGTTTTGTGGCACTGCGATTGTCATACATTTTTGTATTGTATTTTTTCCTCTTTCAAATGTTATTTTGTAAAGAATATAATATGACGAAGGATAAAAATCACATAAACATCAGGATAATTATTTAAGAAAACAGATTAACGAAAAAGAAAAAAAAAGAAATAAAAAAGAAAAAAAAAGCTTTCACGAACGGTAAAAAATAGTAATAAATCTTACAAAAACAAATGAATAAGTAGATAAAGAAAAGAAAGAAGAGATAGAAGAAAAATAATAAATAAAGATAAACTGACCAGATAAAGCGTAAGATGGACAACTAGGAAATGAAAATACCAGTGAATTATCATCTGCGAACCAAATTATCGAATATTAGTGAATAATAAAAAAATATGAATAATAAAATGATAATAAAATAATAAAATTATTATAATATGAATAATAAAAAAAAACAAAATCAATTAACCCAATAATCCAAAATGAGACATACAGAACGAGAGACGATAATGTTGCTATAGAGAATTCCAATATAAGAAGTTCTTAGGCCAGAAAATGAAGATAGCTTACGGTGATGGAGAGAAAGCCATTGTGGAAATTGCAAAGCTTTGAAGATTCATCATAAAAATATTTTGTCTATTACCTACAGAGGAGAATATGGATTATTGCATCTGCTTGGAATTTTATGTTCTTTGGTTTGTTTGTTCGTTCGTTGGTTAGCAGATTGGTAGATGGGATGGAAAAGAAATAGATGGGTTGACTGAGAAATATACAAACGGACATGGGAACGGAATGAAAGAATAGATAGATAGGGATTGATAGGGAGATAGACAGACAGAATAGAAGAGATAGGTTGAATAGATTTTTATGGTTCTTTAAAAAAAAAAAAAAAAATGTTTCTTAGCCTAACTTTGATGATATTAAATTTAGTGGTGATCTAGGAATCTTTTAAAATTATTGCATCCGTTACCCCTATTTCCTTGGCGATAGGGATAACTATTATTATTATTATTACCTATAATACTCCCGCTAAGTAGGTTATGTTTACGGACGTTACGATCGTAATGTAATTCTTTAAGTGTGAATATTGTTATTGCATCGGTGACCCTACTGCCTTGGCGGAGGTATGCGCCCTCTAAGTGCTTCTAGGTTTGTGATAAGCTTGTGAGTTGTGTCGATACGTGAAAATAGAGGTAATGAAAAATAGATAGCACGTCGATCAAATAAAGAGCTAGTAAATATCTCCCTGTGAGCTCGTAAATTGAGAAAATTTGAACAAATCGGCAATAAGTGAAGGCTATTTTCATAAAATGGTATAAACCAAATCTATCTTCTTTTTTGATGTTGCATAATCGAAACAAACAACGTAATCAACATGAAAATAACTAAATCGTAAAAGAAAAGAAAAAAAAAAAAAAAAAAAACGGAACCAGAATTTACAGGGGGATACAAATCTAAACAAGATATTGTCAGCTACAATAAAGAAGTTTAATTCACGTCAAAGCCTACACATAAAAATATATAGAATGAAAAAGAACTTGAACAAGGAATCTTGCAACCATATTGAAGAAGTTAACCTTGCATAAAAAAAACACGACAACTTTACTCATTTATTAATTTGTTTTTGTAAATCTTATTACTATTTTTTACCGTTCGTGAAAGCAAAAATATGTATATAAAGAGATGATAAAATCCTAAACAAACACAAAATAAACAAAGAGATGTAAACAAACGCCAAGAAAATACGAAGGGGGAAACGAACCTATATAAGTCGTCGGCAGCCACATCCGGGACGTCAGAGCGGGGTCGATGTTAACCCAAACAGAAGAGTTGGTGAAGGACTCCAATGGCGGTCGGAGGCGGCCGTCCGTCCAGTACATTCTTATATACCACTCGATCGTTATGTCCTGCAGAGATATTTGAAATATTTTTATTTTAGGGTATTAATTGTAGTTGGATATTTAGATAGATAGATGGAATAGAAAGAGAGGGGATAATGTGTTGAATATTTAGATCGAATAGAAAGAGAGGTTGGAAAAATAA